TTTTCTCCCACCCACTTAGTTTCTTGAATACATAAGATATTAATTTTCCTATGAATCATAATATCAACTAATTCCATTAATTTACCATTGAGAGTGCCTATATTCCAAGAACCTATCCTAATATTAGTTTCATAGACTAACTTCTTTACCCGCATTCGCCCGTAATGTGGGAACCCTTGCTTATTTAACACTACACCCGGGCACCGGTGTAGCGGTCCTTGCACACTTTTCACTGTATTCAGGCTATACAGCGCGTCGTTTCTAGAGACGCCCTAGCACTTACACAATGAAATGGTAAGAATACATATACATTAAATAAATTAAAAATCTATTATGAGCTGGCTACATCAACTACATTTTTTTTTAATACAAAAAAAAAAAGAATACTATATCATAATCTTATAATAATGCTCACTATAATTATAATTTTATTAAGCTCATATTTACATTTTAAACCCTATCAGCGCGCACTCAGTCCAGACTGTCCATTGTAATTAAGCTACAAAGAGAAGAGAGTAACACCAACAATGTCTTCACCACATTTAGCTCTCGTTTTCACGAGAGGTGATTAAGTTGCCTCTTGCTCATTGACATAAACAAAGTGGTATCTCTCTACTTATCTTCAAATTCATATTGAGAGAAATCCTTAACGTGCATCTCTTTTAAAAGCTTGGTAATTTTTTTTATCTACGTGCTCCCATTAATATATGTTGGTCTCATCGAACGAGGTAAACTTTTATTTCACATTCTCTGATATCTAATGTATTTTCTCGCTCCTTTTCATTGAAACTTTTCTTACTATCATGGCGAAATAAGTACGTACACACGCAACATTTTTTCTTATTCCTTTCTCACCTTCTTTTGTATTCCTTCGCATATCAATGGTCTCATCCTCAGTCCAATCCTCCCCTCCTCTTTCTCATCATTTCCCCATTCCAACTTTATTATATGATCTTCCCATACTCAGTTCAATCCATGATAACTCTAAGAGCACATAGTGATTATTGTATTAGGCACTTGCCTTTTTTATATTAGGCACTTGCCTTTCTCCATCAACCCTACGAGGACATCACCCAAATCTTGCTTCTCTCTGTACTCGACTCATCCGTAAAATCAATGAGTTGGAAGAGCTCAAGTTCGAGCAACACGTTTGAAACCTAATAATTTTGGTCGAGTAAAGATTGACATATTATTTACACCGCTAGGTAACCTAGCTATTATGCTACATGTTCTAATGCCAACTTTATCACAACCAAAGCAGCTATTAAATCCTTTCAAACAAAATTTTGTCATTTAAATTCTTAAAAGGAAAATTTACACACATACCACTCAATTCTTTTGTTTATATATATTTATATATATATGTCACGTCGGTGCCTAGCCCAAGGATAATTGTCTTTTGTACGCCTAAGGACAATTTAGTTGTTTATAATTATTATTGTTTGGTATAAATAGAGACTTATTTTGTTTAGAGTTACGTGGATCATGAGATTGTTGTTGTGAGACTTGGGCTCAGGGTTGGTAGAAATTTCCTACCTTTAAAATTGTAGGAATTGAGAGATCACACACCTCTAGAATTATAGGTGCTTATCTCTATGACTTCGTGAGAGTTATTAGTGTTGTATTACTTTGATTTGGTACTCAAGAAATAAAATGTGTTTACACTAATTTCTGTGAAAAAACATGCTGATTTTGATGCTGAATATTATCAAATTGGTATCACGGCATATTTTCAAAATTAAGGGATCGCAGTGTCCGAAGTTCTACACAGTTTCCAAGCATCAAAATACATACACGAATTTAGGGATTGCCACATTCAGAGTTCCGCGTAGATCAAAAACCATGTACAAATATTTCAAAGCTCATAAGTTCAGCTTAAATAAGTTCTGAAACTGTACAAGGAGCAATGAAAGCCAAGAAAATAGATGGCTTGGAGAAAAAAATAGAGGAAGAGAAGAGTCAACCTAAATGTAGAATGGAAAAAAGGTCTGCCATCATAAGGATAGGTTTTTTTTCCATGGAAAACCGAATGGAAGGCCGTCTTGAGAGGTTTTCTTCGAGGGATAACTGAATGGAGGACCGATTTGAAAGTCTTGAGGGACGATAAAGAGACTCATTGAGATGCAATCCTAGACCCCGCCTGCGGCTTAATTTGCAAAACCTAACCAAAAGTTGACCAGAGAATTCGGAGCCAGATCGAACGGGAAAGAGATCTAATGTAAGGACCATGAGGATAAAAATATCCAACATCACGAACTTCTCCCTAGGGCTACAAAGGGAGGTGGATTAGAGATTTCAGATAGAGGGGGTTAGGCTAAGACATAAAGGAGAGGTTATGCAAGGGGTTGGAGGAGCTCGAAGAAAGAATGAGAGAGACCAAAATGGCATATGACTATGTTCGGAGGGAGTTTCATCCTAGATACATGGGGGGGAAACACCAGAGGAAGAGGACCTCGGTGATGCTTGGTTTGGGAAGTTGAAGATACTGATTTTCGAGAGAGAAGACACACATGGGTGGGTATATTGTGTAAATCGATACAGTGAATGAACTAACTGGGGAGGAGAAACTCATGACAATAATGTTATGTTTGGATGGAAAAGACCTAACACGATTTAAGTGGGGGGAGGCTAGATACCCAATCCGTATGTGAGAAGAATTTAATGATCATTTTTTGGAACGTTTCCGAGCCATTATGGAAGGAGATCTATACGAGCAATTCTTTGCCTTGAATTAGAGGTACTGTCATGGAATATAAGAAGAGATTTGAGCTATTGTTGGAATGACTGAGAGGGAATTTTGATGCAGGATTGAAGGAAAATTTCAGGAAGGGCCCAAACCTCGACATACGGGTAACACTCCAACTATTGAGACCACGAGGATTGAGGGAAACAATGAAGCTAAGCTAATAGAGAACTAGAACTAGATGGAGAAGGCCAGTAGAAGCATCACCAATGGAGCGTCGTATCGAACTGCTACAACTACGACAATACCAAAAGCTTAAACATGGAACTTCAAAGGAAAGTTGCACGGGGCAAAAATAATGTGTCATGGCCGGGAGCGACACTCAAGTGCCTTACAAAAATAAAGTTTTAGGAGAAGCAAGCCAAGGGATTGTGTTTCCGATGAGATAAGAAGTTTATTCCATGACATCGTTGTAAAGATTGAAATTACAAGTTCTCATAGTGTGTAACAAGGAGACAAAGGGTGAAAAATAGAAACAACTGTAGTGACGAAGGAACACTAACTTTTTCTCACCTTGAGGACAAGGTATCTTTGGGGGAAGGGAGATATTTTTTATCGGTACCAGCCTGAGCACAATTTTGTATTTTGTATGCCTAAAGACAATTATTCCTTTATCATTATTGTTGTTGGGTATAAATAGGCTTATTATGTTTAGGTTTAATGGGATGCATTAGATTGTTGTTATGAGTCTTAGGTTGTGAGAGATTTCTTACCTCTCGAATTATTGGAATTGGGAGAGATCGCCTACCTCTTGAATTGTACAAAATTGTCTTTATGTATGTATATGAGTTATTAGTGTTGTATTATTTTGATTTGGTGTTTGGGAAATATAATTTATGTTTGTCCTAATTTCTATGAAAAAACAATGCCGATTTTGACACCGGATCGTATCAATATCATACATCTAAACTTTAATTTTTACGCACAATGCCACCTTCCCTCTACATCTTCCCTATACATGAAAAGATGTGTTTCACTTTTTAAAAGTTAAAAATAGTAATATTTTTTATGAGATATGAAAGAATTGAGTGGTAAAAATGTAATAATTAAAGTTTACGTGTTAGAAATGCCTTAAAAATGATTAATACACAACTCTAGCCATTCCATTTGTGTAATAGTTTCTACCTGCAACATAATAGGACCACTTAAACCATGGATAGAACGTTACAAGTTACCACCATTGGGTGCTTACCTTCAATACCATATGACTGGGACGTGAAGGATATGCGAACCAGACATCATTGAGTTCCACTTCACTATCTTTTTCACTATAACAAAACAAAAAACTCTAATAATAAGGATGTAAAAATAAATATGGATGAGATAAGACTTAGAATCAGCACATAAAGGTTTCAGCTTTTTTATGAACTACCTAGCGGGACATTTATCGCCAGATTTCGGCATAGTTGAGGCCCGATCGAGAAGCTGAAAAACTCTCCGGCTCGCACCTGCAGCTTTCATCATTGTCGTATACAATCCCGATAGGGACGAGACTGACGAACCAACTGCAGTTACAATAATAGAACAAAGAGGCCGTCAAAAGGTCATGATATATAAAAATCAATTATTTATGCAGTTCATCATATTAAGTTCTTGAGAATGCAGATCAATTTTGGGAAACTTACATACGGATAATTCTTATGTATTTACATATCACACACCTAAACTTCCATATTTACATATGTATACCACTTTGGTGCTTTAAACCTATGCATGTAAAGGTGAAATTCACTGCTAAAAAGTGGTAACAGTGCTATTTCTGGTGTGATATAAATGATTTGAGTGCTATGTGTGTAAATATGAAAGTTTAGGTGTGATATGTAAAATCAAATATTTTATCTTCATGGGAGATTTTCATTTTGCTTGATAAAATATACCTGTAAGGCTGTAAAGGATGAAAGAAGTCAACTCCCCAGTTGTCATGGATCCCTTGATGGTGAGGTTGGCTCCATAGAGTACTACAATGGCGACCGACAACGTGGATGCTGCATTCATTCCACCAGAAAAGAGACCAACAACTTTCTGAAACAAATTCATTTAAGGTTCAAAATCCAAGTATCTCATCCACAAGTGTAAAAGTGAAAATCATAACTCACGGCTTGCTTGAGACCGAGCTTCAAGGTCTCATCCACTTTAGCTGAATAGCGAGAAATTTCATATTCCTCCTGAGCGAAAGACCGTACGGTGCGTATAGCTCCAAAACTTTCCTACAGAGGGGCGTCATATATGAGCTTAAGTTATTATTTCATTTGCCTATCGCATATTTTCTTAAAAAAAGTACATTTAAAAGACGAAAAAGAATAACATGAAGAATTCAGGTTCTGTACAACAACGCAGGAAGAAGGCACATCATTGTTCAAAAAAAGAAAAATCTAGGGACTTCACAAAACTTGAATAAGGCTGTCACTCATTGAGGGGGCAAATTAGAGCTGTGCTTGACTGATTCCTCGAAACATAAGTGTATAATAGCTACTGCATGCTATGTGGAAGAAGCCTGATATGAAAAAGCTAGATCAAACTGTTGACCTCATTTTCAGTGAGGTCTTAGTCTCCTACTCTTAGAACCCAGGATCGAGCTTTAGGAGTTCCTTATTTACCATCCTAGTAGACTAGTAATGGAGCCCACCTCCCATAGAACTTCGAGCCATATTTTAACTCATTTTTGTGCAGACCTCGCTTAAGTAGTCCCAAACACTTGACTCTTAGTTGCAAGAGCTAAGGACTAACATGTAGAGGGCCCGAAAATGAGTTCTCATAGGATCAAACGGCCTTAGGTGAACCATTTGTGACTTGAACACTCGCGAACTCCACAATTTACAGACTCCCTACACCAGACAGGATGTTGACTTGAATTGACATAACTGTCGGCAAACTTGTTTATACGACCTCAAATGACGAAACGGACCGCGCAGACGCATTCGAAACGTTTACTATAGCTAGAAAGAACACATATATTGTTATGACCTCACGCGCGAGCAATCAATACAAAAATTGATGCACGCTTTTTTAAATTAGCGAAGCGCGGGCCCAGGCTCAACCCAGGTTTAACTTGAATTCGATTTGGGCTAGACTGGGGCTGAACAAGGGTTAAACAATTTTGAATTAAAATTTTTTGAATTTCAAATGACTTATTTAATTTCATCATAATTAAATTCATTTGAAAGTTATTACCAGCCAAATAAAACTTCTCTGCCTATGAAAATCATTTAAACCCCCGTCAATTGTTTTACGTAATGCCTCTCTTGACTATACAATTCGGCCCCGCTCCTATTCGAAAAAAAGAACTCTTCCCCTCACCTGCTCACTCTCCTGCTCCTTCCTCCCCCTCTCTGCCTCACGCACCGAAACCCCCACGATCGACTTCCTTTCTTCCTCCGCTCAATCACGCTTGTCTCTTCCTTGCCAGAGACATTCAACGCCCTCTCCTCCAGTTTGAAGACTCCTCCCGCTCGCCAGCTCCTCTGCTCCCGCACTCCTACTCGCCTCTACGAACCGAAGCATTCAGCCCCGCTCCTCTGCTCGATTCGGCTCCCTCGCTCGCCCGCTCCTCCTCCGCTTGCCAGCTCCTCTGCAACTCGATCACAGCTCTAGCCGAAGCTCCTGCTTGCCTCCCTTGCTCGACCATCCTTCCTCGCTCGACCAAAGAAGCCCTCGACTCCTCTCTCTCGGCTTCACCTTCCCGCACCGAAAGCTTTGGCCGACACTCCACTTCACAGGCAAAAGCATAGTCGAATTCCCTCCTACTCGCAGCATTTGAGCAATTGAGATTCTCGTTACCGCAACTCTCGCTCTCTTCCAGGGCTGCACTGTTCCCTCATCCTTCTAAAGTGTATTCGGTAATATCTACTGTTGTTCTTTAGCACTTTTAAATATAAACTTTTCTAGCATTTATCTGAAAGAACGTTCGCTACATGTCATAATATTTTGGCATTAAAACTTACGTTCAAGACAGAGATCTGAAACAGTTATCTTTAAGCTTTTTAACGGTATATCAATGATCAAACTTTGGCAAGCAATAACAAATTTAGGTTTTATTTTTGGTAGTATTATGCTATGTTTGTAGCAAACCATGTTCTTGGAGTTGATTAGAATTCAACAGGAAGGCTGAAATTCCTGCACTCATATGCTTACAATTCAGTTGATTTTCTTTAGTCAAGGAAGAATTACACACACATCACATGATTCTCATGGATTTACATTTATAACAACTTAAGTAATTCCTATACATGTACATCTTTGCGCACATGCGCTAGAAGCCGTATCAATGTTGTTTTGACATACTACAAAAGGTTTGGGTGAAGTAATGTAAAATTGAGACTTAGGTGTTAAACATGTAAACACAAAACACAATAGGGGTTGCGGGGGATGCATGCGAGGACCCGTTTGATCCTTTATGCTGGATTGTTTGGTATTGTTGTTTTGAGAGGATCAAGATACTGTTTTTGAAATCAAATGGGTGCTGATTGGAGACGGTTTAAGCCACGTTTTGCGCTAAATTTTTCGCTGTTTTGGAGAGGGATTTGGGGACTTTTAAATTGTCTTTTTGGGACTGTTTCGAGGATGTTTCCTTTATTGTTTGGAGAGTTAAAAGTGTTGTTTAGTGGCTTTAGGAGTGCTAGAAAATACTTGAAAATTGCTGGGAGAGCTGTGGGGTACCGTGTCAAGCTTGCTAGTCACTGTCCAGATAGCTGTTATCCGGAGTCGTAGGAAGCCGTAGGATCACTGTTCGGAGTTCCTAGCTGCTATTTGGATTCGTACGAAGCCACACAAATGTTGTGTTGTGTTGCATATTGCTGTTTGGATTCGTTAGAAGCCAATAAAACACCGCACAAGCTTGCCAGTTGCTGCCCGGAGCGGTAGGAGGTCGTATGATCACCACACGAACTTGTCAATTGCTACTCGGAGCCGTAGGAGGTCGTATGATCACCGCACGAGCTTGCTAATTGCTACTCGGAGCCGTAGGAGGTCGTAGGATCACCAGTTGCTGCTCGGAGCCGTAGAAAGCCGTAGGATCACCGTTGAGAGTTCCTAGTTGCTGTCCGGAGTTGTAGGAAGCCAGAGGATCACCTGTTTGGAGCTCCTGACTGCTATTACGACTTGTTCTGTTATTTTTTACACTAAAATTACTGCTTTCTTCTTTTTTTTCTTGCAAATAATTTAAATTCCTTGCAAATTATATTGTGTTTTGTGAGCTAAACACGCAGCAGGGATAACAATAGCAGATACGTCAGGTACGCAAGTACATTTTATTTATTATTATTATATCACTGCAATTTACTCTTGCTCTAATATATCATACATGTTTGATTGCGATTTCAATTTAAAAACAAAAAAAATTCAAAAAATTCAACAACATTTTCAAAACAAAACAGTTTTTTTTTCAAAAATTAAACAACATTTTCAAAACAAAAATAAAAAAAACACAACACGTCCTTTTGAATTTACGGGAGTCCCTCAAATGAGGTAACCCACGGTTGCTAGCGAGATCTTCCCAGTTTAAATGAGTTGTTAAGCTCATTTAAACTAAGTAAATTTAAAAGAATATAGTGGTGTCGGAACGAGAGAGCCGTGAGATCCTAAAAGGTATCGCTCTAATCAATTTTAACCTCCCTTATAATGCTTGAATGACAACAAAAACAAAACCTTGAAACACACATGGTAAAAACTTTTGAACCTTAGACATTAGGACTGCTACCTCAACAAAAAGCTTGGAGCCAGCTTTGTGCAGCACGACAAGAAGCTTGGATCAAGCAACAAGATGATCTTCTTCAACAATCTCTCTCATTAGTCTAAATAGCAACCCATATGACTTCGAGATAGCTCGCCCAACGCAATGTAAATCCTCACACCCTCTTTAGGCTCCTGTACAACCATGTTGTGCAGCGTAAGTCCTAACTCACCTTAGGTTTTGAGGTTGTCGTGTGGCACGATGTAAACCCTCTTATCTCTGGCTATTTGCATAATCGAATATTATGCAAATGTAAGTCCCAAATAATAAAATTAGCAGGATTAAACATTTTAATAAAATCATCTCCAAAACTCAGCCACATATTAGGATAGTTTGGGAAGTCACTAAGATTTTTACTCAGGATTTGTGACATCCCCTACCTCTTTCTTCCTTTAGACTCCTAAAAGTAAATGTCCCTATTTAAGTCACTCTCACTACTCTTTCCACATCCTACCGTGAAAATCTAAACCTCAAATTCTTGAAGACCAGTACTTCTGATTATTTTCGAGAGTTTTCTCAAGTGACCCCCGTCATTTGTGATGTAATTAACTATAGGGATTTGTCTCTATAAGATATTTGAAACCAAGATAAAATAAACCCTACATAATCTTTTTTATTAGATAGAAGAACTTGTCGGTCACACATCAAAGGTTCGCAGACCAAACGGATGTCACAAATCTCTTGATTTGCAGGATTGGGTCTATCACCGAGGTATACACTTACCTTTCGAGAAGGTGAAATATTCGCAGTATCGGACACGATTATGCAAACTATTAGACGAATGAGATTCATTTGGTCTTATTTTTTGAAAATTAAAACATATTACTTTCAAAACCCAAATTACATACCTCTTATATTAAATTAAATTTCAAAATTATTTTCAATTTTTAAAAATCAAAAAGATGACCGACACAAACACTCATCAAAATCTTTCATTTGTTGATGTTATAATGTCATAATAAACTAACACGAACCTCTAAATATCATCACTCTATTGGTTTAATTTACTTATTTGTACACTCTAAATACTAATCATTAGGATGACATTTCCAAAATTTTACCTCGCCATCATCAGATTTAACTAGTATAACCATTCCATTTCCTTTATGAACAACCCCACCTCACACCGTTGTTTCATCTCATCTTCGCTTCCAAACACCAGCAATGTTTGGGTTTAAGGGATCCCTAGGGACGAAAATCACTAAGGTTGGTTCACCTAAATATTGATTATTAGGTGTTCAGCTAACTTCTTAACGAATGGATCAAATATGAGCTACTTAGCGAGCTAAGCACGGCTTGTTCAACGATGAAATTTTTTGACAACCCTATTGGCATACAATCTCAAACAAATCTACTCTCTAAATTCATGAAAATTAAAAATTTGAGCATTGGAGGGTGCTCCTTAAAGCACCAACCATCAGATGAGTTGATCTTTTATTTAAGTTGCTTATGTGCAACAAAATGTAATCAAATCTAGACATAATTGTTTCCTTCAACTATTATTGTCATAAAATTCAATTTGTAGCACTATAAAACAGTAATAATTATGTTGTTCTAACCACCTCCATGAAATCAAATTTTCATAAATTTGATCCTCTACCAATTTTAGTTGAAAGGGTCAAGTTCACCATCACCAAATTGGAGACCTCAAACAATTCATTCACCGATAGGCAAAAGCACTTTCAGAATTCAATAAGCTGTCGGCATGCAAATATATACGGTTAAAAACTAAACGATAAGATCCCATCTTTGTGGAGAAAATTCAAACCATAGATCGTATAAAAAATTGTATCCCTTTAAGATGATGTTTTCACAAATTTGAAGAGTGGACTATTAATGTTACACGAAGCAACACGTAAAAAATAAAATTTGCAACATGCATCAAAATGATGAAGCCCAAAAAGATAACAATGTATTATAATATTCAAAAAACCTTTAAGCGCATAAAAAATTTCTCTTAGGACCAGCATGATTGCAAAAAATTACTAGAGATGCATAGACAAGGGTCGAATGAAAAATATCTGTAACACCATTATACTTAATTGATAAGAGAAAGTTAGACACTAAAAACATTTCCACAATGTAATACTGACAAAAAAATTTATAATGATCATTAGAAAAATAAAAACAAACCTCAGCTATTGAAGCAGCTACAGCAGCTGCAGCCTGAGTCTTATGGGAAAGTTCCCGAAGAAAACGCCCAAACTTACGCACAACCACAGATATCACAGGCACTATAACTAATGCCAGCACTGTAGGAAGATAAATCAATGAGTTTGATTTTCATGAACAGCTCATATAAAACTGATATGAATCAATGATGCAAAACCATCACTGTATTTAGATTTACAAAATATTTAATTTACCAGGCAGTCACAAAAGAAACGTGGATGGACAGAGACCAAGATAAAAACTATAGAGTAAAGTGCCAAAATAGTCCCCAAACTATTTTTATTGGGTCATTTCCAAGACTCTCAATTTAGGCTAAAATAGTTCTCACTGGGGAATGTTTAACGAAAAATAAAAAATGATGTAATCAGACATTCACTACAACAATAAAATTCCTCCATTTGGAGGTGAAAACAGATGCATCTTTTTCATTTAAAAATGTTCAAAGATAAAGCCAACTCCTTTCTACGAGTTCGTTAAAACTAGTATATCAACCATTAAATACAAATTTTCTAAAGCTAAATTCAATATTTTCTTGCATAAAGCTAAATACGGGGTCATTACAGGATAATTTCAAAAAGGAGCATTACATACATACAGCCCAATTCTTATGTTTTTACATATCTAACACCTAAAGGTCCTAAATTTTTTACATTTATACCACATGAAACTTTTGTATCACATCAAAATTACGATTAATTTAACTTTTAAAAATTGAAATAAAACTTTCCATGCATAGGTAAAGTGTCATATATGTAAAAATTGATGTTTAGGTGTTAGATATGTAATATATAAAAATTGAACGGTATGCGTGCAAATCTTCCCTTTCAAAAAGACAAAGTTTATCGAGCCACATTGATACCGGAACTAGTATCAAAATAGTGGAAACACAAAAATAAACTTTTATTAGTAGGGAAATATGGTTACAACACAATACAAACTGAAAATAACCACACAAAACATAAGATGTTGGCATCCACATTTGATGCAACATACGCAAAACATCCTCATCGAGTGACACGACATTATAATTAGGTTCTATACCGTCATAGTCGTACTCCGAGTCGATCGTGGTCAAACTAGCATTGCCATTGGTATCCTCCGCGATGACGTTCATTCCTGTGGCATGGGGTTGTATCTGGTTAATACAGATATTCCCGTGATATAGACCGTTGACATGGATGCTCCATACGTGTTCGTGCCTCAAGTTTAAAATCAAGATGGATCAATTTCACGATTGGAACCATTGTGCTCAGCGACATGTGTACGGTTGACCTTTTCAAGCACTTTTGAGATGCATTTCTAACCCCTATGGAGGTCCGAGGGTCATTATGTCCTCATATTTGATCCTCCGGAGGTCCCACGAGGCTCGAAACCCTTTTGACGGACTTTTCCAGAAGCCAAAATTTTCTGGGGATTGGCATGATTGTGCCTGATTTTGGCATGGCCACGCCTAACCAGTGGCGTGCCCACACCAAAGCCTCCTCGACCGACGTGCCCAAGTCAGAGGACGATGTGACCACGCCGGCCAGACAGAGCGCCCGACGTAGCCACGCCAGACCCCAACCGCGACGATTTGAACAGTGGCATGACCATGCCCAAGCCTTGCGTGGACACGCCCCGGAACCTGCTAGTGAGTTTTACCCGCCGGTGAGGCGGTCATGACCAGTGGTCCTCCTTTTACATGGTTCTCCATCCTAAAATAACATAAATGGCATTTGGGGACCATACTAAATGGGGAAGGTGGCTTAAATCCTTTGGGCAAGCCTTTTTAGGAGGATTAACATGCAGAAAATAGCTCATTTGCTTGGATCGGCAGCCATTGGAGTTGGAGAGGCAGGGAAGAGCAAGGGAGCTTTGGAGGAGCTTTTAAAGGGCTTTCTTGGAGGATTTCTTCATCTTCTTCAAAGAGAAGGTTAGAGAAACCAATTTCCCTCATTTTCCTCATCTATTCATTATCTCTTGGGCTCGATCGCCCGATCTTTTGGGTTCGATTGACCTTCCCGCGTTGTTCACCCGCTTTAGGTTTGATCAGCTGTTTCGGCCCGCTTGACTTATTTTTTGGGCTCGATCAGCCATTTCAGCCCAATCACCCAATCTTTTGGGTTTGATCGACTGCCCTACATAGATTACCCACTTTATATCCGATCGGTCGTCCTGGCCCGATCGCCTAATTTTTCGGGCTTGATCGGCGGCCCCGAAATGATTGCCCGATTGCCTAATTTTTCGGGCTTAATTATGTAAGCCACCCACCCTGCTTCCTATGGCACCACTTAGAGTGTCATATGTATTTCATATTGTGCTAAGCACGAGTCATGCTTCCTAGCCCCTGAACTCGTACGAAACAATGTGTGTTCACGTAGAAATGTGGCTCTCATTTGTATGAATCACATAACCTAGCATACTTGGCACTTATCATTTATATATGCTTGTTATTTGCATGTCATATGCTAGTTATCTATCATATGTCTGTTGTATGTCGCATGCTTGACATTTCTGCATGTCATATGCTTGGCATTTTTCATATGAATGTTGCATATTTTGCAAGTTTGCATGTGTGTCTGATGAGTGCCTCTCGGGTAACGTGTAAATCCTCTTTATAAATATCATTTTACTCGATGCAAACTCACTCGTAGCTGGTATCTGTCTGTCGCATGGTGCCCCGGGTCCCCCGAGCAGGTGTGATTTCTTTCCATAGGTAAACTGTTTTACCGGTATATCCCGTTTGTGTGTCATGTCACATGTATCTATTATTGCATTCATTTGTATGATGTGTGTTTCACCCTTTTGGGCGCCCGTTGTGATTACTTTGTGTTTCGGTCGAACAATCACAGTGTTGCCTTCTTGAATGCTAGTATGTCTGTCCATTTTCTTTGATGACTTGTCCTACTCGTTGAGAGAGTGACCCGTTTGTTGATTGAGATGCGCAAATGAGCATTTGCACCAGAGGATTTTTCAACGAACAAATGCGAGTTTTTATATCACAAGCAACAAAGAGCACGATTGTACTAAGGATCCAATTACTCTAAAGTATGTCACATGAGTCACGAACCTGCACTTTATACTCCGCTATTTTTAAGTAAAAAAATGGATATTTTTGCTACTGTAAGCACCGCCTTGCTTTAAAATCTATATATGTTAGGTCATTCAGGAGGCTACCTCTTTTAAATGTCAACCCACTCCTAGTGAAATGCTTTAGATCCCTTAGATCTTTAGGACGAGGTTGGCATTGCGACCCCGTCAAAGTCATACGGTAGCAGTGAATTTATCCTGAGCACTTAGATGCTGGTTAGGATGTCTTTTCATTAGATTGTGTGTTAAGCTATGATTTAGGATGCGAGGTAAAATTATTTCGATGTTCTGACTATAGTTATTTGCTGGTTTGGTTGCCCTAGCCAGACATGATCTTCCTTGTGTTTTTGTGTGTTTACTAAGTGTGGACGTGAGCATTGGCATGTTAGGTGCGGTCTTTTGCATGAGGTCTTGCTATATATATGCACACACATGTGCAATAAAAAGGGGGAGCATGTGTGATTTACATGCTAACTTTTGCTTGCAGATGCTGCTTAGCTCTCCCACCAGACATGGCCCAAATACGTTTGCATGTCATAACCTGTGCTAATATTTTTATGCAAGCCGAGTCATTAGCCCTAGGAGTACTGTAGAAGCCATGATTGTTAGGAGAAACCAGGAAGCTTTTTGCTACACCACTTACGTAGCAGTGATTTCTATGGTGAGAGTTTTATTCAAATCTTCTTGAAGCATCTGTTGATTTAGTATATGTGAGAGAGAAGCGAGTAGCTACCTCCCATTTGCTCATTAATGTGTTGTTTTCTTTGGGGGATGTTCCAGGAAGTTTCTATTCTAGCTTTGTCACTTCTGATTCCGAGCTTGATGAAATCATTAATTTCTTGACCGATTGAAGAGGGGTTTAGAAGGTGAGGAATGATGATAAAATAATTTTTTCTTCATCCAAGTTAAATGCACCTTCTAAGACTTGGCATTACTTCATATCTGCCAAGCCTCTGCCTTCTACAAATTTGAGTGAGGTGACGAGGAAAAGAGCTTCTCTTAATTATTGTATTCAAACCATGAAATCTATAGGAGCTGTGATTTATCATTCCATCATCAATGCTACAAAAGAGGATCCACTTTAGGGTTAGGTCACCCTTCTACTATTTTCACCCTTTATCAGCATTCGGATCTCACATTTGAGGGATGGGAGGAGCAGTTGCATCCGTTGAAGCCCATTTCTAAGGCTAATGTTAATTTATATGATAAACATGTTGTCTTTGGGCACAGAGCGAGTTCTTCTCAGCCTTCTACTTCCTACTCTCAGACTAGACCATCTACATCCAAAGTTTAAATTTATTTGTCCTTAGTTACCTGCATTTTAAATTGTATGTTTTAAAAGAAATTGAGATACGTGGTGTTAATTTGAAATTGTTGCAATTTTAGGAAAAGAAAATTATAGTATATTTGTTTTAAATTCTATGTAAATAAAGCTAGGCTAGTGTACAGTTAACTTGTAGTTTAACCTGTAGCAATATGGTTTCACTATTTATTTTTGCAAAGGATTATTGAATTGTTTGATTTAGTATACTTAGATATATATTTTATAAGAGTTAAGTCTCTATTCAAATAATATTTTTAGCTATTACATATTAAAGTAAAAGCGTGTGGTAGACATCACTTTAGGGAGTTGATAGTGAAATTCAAAACTATTAAAAATCTATACAGGTATAATAATTTTCCTAAAAATACGGCAAATGATTGAAATTTATGTTCTAAAGCAAGAAAAAATGTGATTAAAATAAAAGTATTGAGTGAGAAGAAGCTTAAGAAGAAACCTAATTAAAAATTAGGTTTCCCTAGATTCTTTTTAAAGTTGAAGCATTATTACATTCCTAAGAATATTTGTAATAAAAGTGTATTTGTAATTTTTTTTTTAAATGGGGTGCTTAAACTCTATCTTTTTCTACTATTTAAGTTACTTTAGTTAACATTTATTAACTGTTTTGTGAATTGAATAGAAAATCAAATTTTCCTAGTTAAATGAAAAGTCTACTTTTACCCTAGGACT